TTGGAGACGACTTTCAACGATACCTTGGACAACCAAGAAAAAATAAATATATGGAACAAACAATTCAATCCAGAATTCTCATTAGAGGCACAAATAACTCAAACGTTCATACTTCAGACACATTATACAAAGACATTCTCTCTCAGGAGAAGGTTCTAATTCCAGGATTCCAATTCTCTTAAGGAAGGCATGGCATATATGCATAAGGCTATAGAATACTTTATTGGCCAAGTGTGATTGGACACACAAGGAATTTGTCTTGGTGTACTCTCAGTATACATAAAGAAAAGGTACATTCATTAAGAATCAAGAATCATAACGTACAATACTTAATGATAGTCATAGGGTACAATCAACAATCAAATCATACTAGGAAACAGTCAAGTGGGAGGGGATGGGTGATAAAGAGTGGTGAGAAGATTAACAGTAATAGTAGTATACACTTTATAAATAGTTGAACAGGGTTGAGGGAATTATTTGTTTAGCAGAGTGATGGCTTTTGGGAAAAAAACTGTTCTTGTGTCTAGCGTCGTTTTGAAGGAAGGAGTTCAAACAGTTTATGTCTGGGATGTAAGGGGTCTGTAAATATTTTCACAGCCGTCTTTTTGACTCGTGCAGTATACAGGTCCTCAATTGAAGGTAGGTGGGTAGTAATTGTTTTTTCTGCAGTCCTAATTATCCTCCGAAGTCTGTGTTTGTCCTGTTGGGTTGCAGAACCAAACCAGACAGTTATAGAGGTGCAGATGATAAACTCAGTAATTCCTCTGTAGAACTGTATCAGCAGCTCCTTGGGCAGTTTGAGCTTTCTGAGTTGGTGCAGAAAGAACATTCTTTGTTGTGCTTTTTTGATGATGTTTTTGACGTTAGGTGTCCATTTTAGGTCATGTGATATAGTAGAACCTAGAAATTTGAAGGTCTCTACTGGTCTCTACTTTACTCTACTGTCGATACTGTGTTGTCTAGTATTGTAAGAGGTGGTGTTATAGGAGGGTTTCTTCTAAAGTCTACCACCATTTCTATGGTTTTGAGTGTGTTCAGTTCCAGATTGTTCCTGTTATACCACGAGGCAAGTTGTATAACCTCCTGTCTGTATGCAGATTCATCGTCTCAAATGAGACCAATCACTGTTGTGTCATCAGCAAACTTCACTATTTTAACAAATGGATCGTTTGAGATGCAGTCATTGGTATATAAGGGAGAAGAGAAATGGAGATAGCACACAGCCTTGGGGAGCCCCTATGCTGATTGTACAGGTATCGGATGTGATTCTGCCTGCTGCTTCCTTTCTGTTAGGAGCTTATGATCCACTTACAAGTGTGTTCAGGTACCGCTAGTTGGTTTAATTTACTTAGAAGAATGTCTGGAATGATGGTGTTGAATGCTGAACTGAAGTCTACAAAGAGGACCCTTGCGTAGGTATTTGGAGATTCAAGGCTGTTGTCCTTTACTTATAATTCTGTAAAATTATTGCAGCATTTTCAAAAAATTACTATTTTAAATTCCTTTGCTTTCTGTTTGCAGTCTCATCCTTTTTTTCTTCCCTTTTAGATCAGTTGGATTATAAATGTATGGGCCGGGTTTATTTTGTTTTTAATTATGTGTAGTAAAACACAAATGATTGGTGTTTTGTATGTTGCTAATAATCATTGGGAAATCAAGCAATAGTGTAGTGGCTTTGCAAATTTCTAACTCTCATGAGAGAGCTATTTTTTAAAAAAGAAAAAGAAGAAAAATGTAATTAAGGGTAATTTTTCATTTTGCAAAAAGAATTTTTGCAAAATTCTTGGATAATATATTGTTTCATTGTAAGAAATGTGTCTTTCGTACCACTATGGTACACAACTAGCAGCCAAGATTAAATTATTAGCTTTCATTAAAACTTAAATAAATCAAAATCTATATTTTCTTTAGATAACCTCAAGTAAAAATTAGTATCTCATGTAAGTCATGAAAACGGCACTGATGAGCTGACCATTGCTGAGCTGCTACTTGGTCATTTCATTTTATTCATGATTTATTTTAATTCAATTTACTTGGCTAAGCTGACTTTGATTATTTTTGTTGCTTCCCGAAGCAGCAGTCAAAACATCTTGAGGAGAGACAGTTTGGTGCAGTGGTTAAAATAGCAGACTGGAAACCAGGAGACCATGAGTTCTACTCCCACCTTTGACACAGAACCAGTTGGGTTAACTTAGGCCAGTCACTTTTTCTCAGCTGTAGGAAGGAGGCAATGGCAAATCACTTCCAAAAATCTTGCCAAGAAAACTGCAGGGTCTAGTCCAAGCAGTTGCCAGGAACAATGACTTAAAGGCACGCACACAAAACAAAAACAAAAATACATCCTGAATGTCTTAGAATTTAATCCAAACCCCTCAAGAAAGGAAAATGGAAGAGAGATAATAAAAAATGGCAACAGAATGAGTCCAAGGTCTCAGAATCTACGCACCTAAATCTGTAAAAACCAATGATTATATATCGGACAAGAAATGTTTAAGTAAAATTAGCTCTCTGTGTGTATGTGTAATTAGTAATTATTCACATGCTTCTCAGCACAACTTCAGTTATTTTCATATGCTTTTAATTAACAGCTGCCTTTATTTCATATGACATCCTGCTTCCTAACCACAAAAACCCTAATTCTCTGTTTGGTTTACTCTGTGCAATTTTGTTTTGTTTGGGATGCTGAGCATGAAAGGATTTTGAGAATTAAGACCCCAAATACCTTTCACTTAGACTAGTGAGCTATACTCACTAAAAGCAAAGGACAGCAAATGACAACATTGGTTTTTAAGGCTCAGGGATAAGTGTAAAAAAAAAAAACAGATTTCTGCTAGATGTTTTTCTTGGTAAGCCTCAGAACAGATTTTCAAGAATCAATGAGATACTGTTTGATGTCAATACCATCAATACTATTTACCACTATGCCTAAAAGCCACAGGTCTTCCTCATCTCTTGCTCTAGAAGTACAGGGCTCCCAAGAATTAAACTTTTGAATCGATTAAACAGGAATCAGGATTATTATGGCTATGCTCATTTAATTTAAGAAGTAGAATGATCTCTGACTGAATTTTGCTTTAAGTACAAAAGCAGAAAATGCACTAGGCTGCCAGTCAAACATCCACGTCGACTTGATTAGCATTAAAGTAAGCGCTGGCTTTTATAACTATTCTTTTCTGTATTTATTGTGTGTACATATGAAGTTAACATACAAATATGAAATAGATCACTTTAAAGCTAGTTTCTCTTACAAGGATAAAACCTGCAATATTGGATGGCTTATCCAAACCTATCCTACACTGAGGGGGGTGGGAAATCACAAGACAGAATACTTCATTTTTTTTAAAAAAAAGTATTGCTATTTTTAGTAGCAAATACTTTTTTCTGATGATACTTTCAGACAGTCAGATGTGATACTGATCAAAGTTTCCATTTGAATCTAAATTGGAAAGTGAAACCGTGAGGCAAAAAGGGATTAGCGAGTGGATTATATAAACCATCCCATGACTTCTCTCATGGTTTTATGATATGACCAAAGTTATTGGGTTTATTGTGAAATATTCCTTCTTATATTAAAAACACAACCCAGGCAAGCTCTGGAATGGTCAGAATTAAAAACAAAATCCTGATATAACAGTAAGAAATGATGGAGAATGTAACAGACCTCAACTCACAGAATGCAATACGGGATTGCCAGACTATAATTATTTTAAAAGGTTGTATTAATAAAGTTGCAGATTTAAACCCTGAGGAAACTTAGAGCGTTGTTTCATCTCCCTTTCTGTATAATGCCTTTAACAGAGTTAAACTTATGGTGCCTCAGAGGAATTAATTACTTAAACCACTTTGTTACACACACACAATGGGACAAATTGATGATCAGTACAATCCACTTCCAGGATTATGTTAATATTTTAAAGCTGTTCTTAAAGTGTTAAAGTAACTTTCTAATGCAGAGATGGGAGGTTTTTTGCAACTACAATTTGCAATTGTTTTTTTTTTAGCAATAGTAAACTGACTTCTGTTTTCTGCACTGGTAATGGTTTTCAGTCCAGTTTTTCTCCAGTATTGAATTTATCACCCAGTTTTGGAAAGACAGAGGAGTTGCATCGCTCTGATTTTCAAAGTCTTTTCTTAAAGAAACAAAATGGAGGTTGTTATATAATTTGAGAGAAGAGAGGCAACAATTTAATTCCTTAACTGGTTGTAGAAAATAAAAAGTTGAAAATGTTGCCCGCCCAAATCAACACAATTCAACCAATCATGTAAAAACTGTCCCTTCTTCAGCTATGAAAAATGTGTTGCAGTACATTAAAGGACAGGAAGTATGTTAAAAGGATATATTTCAAACTACCAGACTCTATTCTCTCATCAAGAATAGTGATGTTAAAATCCATGCAATAGATAATCAAACCCTTGTATAAAAATAGCAGCGCTGCAAAGAATATATATTACAAGATAGAATTATTTATACAGGAAAAAAATAGACAAATTTGTAGTTGCCATAGATGAGAAAATGTCTGTAATAACAACCACGCTAAAACTTTAAACATGTACTTCAAAGCTTGTCATATGGTTCAACAGTATCAAAAAGAACTTTATTCCCAAGTGGAGAGAGAGATAGAAATCAAAAAAATGCAATATGATCTGCAGTATCATGACAACCAAAATTTTCCATTTTAAATGTGAGAACAATCTTTGGGTCAATTCCAGGCCACCCAGAATAGTAAAACAACTATAAATCATTGGAGGTTCAAGCTTTTTTCAATTAATTTAAGCATAGGTTACAGGATATAAGAAGTTAAAATGTACGGTATGATTTCAGATTATAGGTTTCTAAATTATCCAGAAAATGAACTGAATGAGGGCCCGAGAAATGAGTATTATTTGGAAATTAAGCAATTTATGGTGAGATATAATGGCATGTAAAGCCAAATCCCAAATCCATACCCAAAGTATTATGTGGGACATACATTTTTAACCCCACCTCCCCTAAAACTTACTGCTCTGAGTCGTAGTAATCCATGCACTTCTTTTTCTTATTATACGCTGCCACTCTGAAAGGTACAATTTCCAATGTTATCAAGCCTGGTGCCATAGTCAGGACTTTGGCTCCATGGGTTGGATCATAGAGGTCTTTCCCAGTTTCAGGATGCGGCATTCCAGCTGGATCTCGGCCCACTATATAGAAGTTTGCTCCAGCTACCATTCTTGCCCTGCAATGCCACTGAACCTAGAAGAAAATTCAAGATATTAGCCAAAGGCAGAACTTGAAAACAAGGTGCAGCAGACATAAAAGATGATCTTGAATTTAAAAAAAAAGCAGTTGTCCTCTAGGCTCATATATTGATCAAGGGCACATCTAGTATGATTGTCGTCAACTTAGAGATAGACACCATCAAAAATTCTAATGCACAACACTGCATGGCAGTTTGTACAGCAGTTTTACAAACAAACAGAAGGATGCCACTTATCATTCCAAAGAATCACACTGGAAGAAAGCCTCAAAAATATCAGTGTAAACACATGTACCCATAAAAGGAAAAAAAAGAGACAGACTACTAGATAGCCATGCTCCATTGGAAGAAGAATTCCAGAGAATAACTATGTAACAGTGTCCTCTTTTAAGCAACTAGTTTAAATGCCTTTTAAAGTTAAAAGAATAAGGAAAAAAACTTATTATTTTCTCAAAGATGCTTTCTTCTAAAAGCAAATGGGCTATGTTTTTTCCTTGAGCAAGAAATGTTTTTCTTCCCCTTGAGAAAGAATGTTTCACTTCTCATCTAGAGCTGATGAAGCTTCTTGAATAAGAAGCGAAACTTCTTCCTCCTCAAGGGAAAAAAAAACCACATTTCTTCCTCAAGAAAAAAATATAGTACAGCTCCCTTTTGAAAAAAGCATCTTTGAGACAACCATGACCTGGATGACTGGGAATCTCTAATAGACATTTATTAATTATTTATGTTAATCAAGAAAAAGTAGCACCTGGGAAACTATGTATTTTCTAGGCTGAGCTTTTGCATGTTTCTTTCAAACTGAGAATATATACCCTGTTTCTCGAACAATACGGCCTCCCCCAATAGGAAGTCCCAGCATGTTTTCTTGGCATGAAATGAAACTAAGCCCCTCCCGCCAAATTAAGGCCTATATTAAAACATGCGAAATGGGGGGGAATGGCAGGGGGGCTTGCCATGGCGTTTAGAACACCGCGGTGTTTGGCGCAGCCACACAGCATTTGGCGCAGCCATGCGCGGCCAGCCAGGGCTCCTCCCTGCAACCGGAGCCTGGTGGAGACACTTGGCTTCAGGTGCTGCTTCCCTGGCCTGTAGGTCCAGCAGAGAGAGCCCAAAGCCGACCGTTCTTTCCACCCCTCACCCAGCCCGTCCCTGTCCCCATGCATCTCCAAACTCACTGGCAGCTCTAAATGCTGCAGTGGCATGGGCATCGGGCAGAGGCGCTTACTCGGCGGGGCTCAGCTTGGAGGAGGACGCGGCGCGGACTGTCGCCTTGCCTCCCTGTCCACAGATGGGTGAGCGCTATCACTGCCTCGGGCGGCCTCTCCCAGTGGCCCCTTCCGGTTAGGGCTGGAGGGACTTGGGAAGGAAGCCAAGCTCGAGTCAGCCTGGTTCTTTCGCTTGGCAGGCGGGTGCGCACCAGCGGCTCGCTTTCCCGGCTCTGCCAACCCCACCCGGCTCTGGCGTGGCCCTGGCAGGATGAATGGAGGGTCCGGTGGGGGGGCGCTTGCTGCTTTGGCCAGAGCTCCACTGCCAGGCAGGAGGGCCCACCTGTCAGCTGCGCTAGGCAACCCAGGCGAAGCTCTTCACACTCTGCCTGGCGCCAGGCAGGGATGGCGGCTGGGCGCTTCTCCCGGGGTGGTCTGATCCTGCACTGTGGCCCTGGGAGATTCGCCTCCCTATGTGGGGTTGGGCTGCCCTCTTGGGCAGGGCAGGCTTTGTCGTACCGGTAGTAGGGTATCATTTTTAAAAGAATGGGCTTTGCCTTTGAATGATGCCCGGGAAGGCGGCGACAGGAACGCCTGAAGCCGAGTGTCTCCGCTGGGCTCCATTTGCAGGAAGTACCCCTGGCCGGCCCCGCATGGCTGCGCCAAATGCTGCGTGGCTGCGCCAAACACCACAGCGTTGCTCTAAATGCCATGGCAGCACGAGGAGAAGGGAAAGCAACAGTTGCGGAAGGTCTCCCGATACATAGTGCCCCACCAATGCCGAGGTCACCATCCAAGCTGTTGCGGCCCGCCTGCCTGAGGATGCATGGGGGGGAATTAAGTCACCCCCGAAAAGACGGCCTAGCCATTTTTTCGGGGCTTCAAAAAAAATAAGACCCGGCCTTATTATATGAGAAACGCGGTATTTCACATGGATGCATTTACATGTACACTAACAAACATGTTTGTCATTTTTTTTGGAAAGGCAATTTCTCCGCATAAGGAATAAACAAAACTTGCAAGAGAAACCATACATGTGTTTTGTTTAAGAAAGGGGGAAATACAGAATTCATGATGAGAAAAGGTGGTAGAAAGGAATAAAAGATGCATAGTAGTAATAGTTATTGACAAGAGCTGTCATCAAATTAAACATTTGTTAAGTGATATACATAAATTCAATGAAAGTCAAAACAGTTCTGAGTGCACAGATTGCATACTTCTTTCCATTTTAGATTACGCGTATCTGTCAGAACACATATCATCCTAAAAGAATGGTGGTGTTTTCCATGTGTAAAATGGAAATGCTTCTTAGTATGTATAATACTTGTATTTTTGAAAAATACATTATATAGTTCATTAAATATTTTTTAGAGATAGGCAATAGATCTTTAAGATGAATAAACATATTGAATAATACAATGTTGTTATGAGATATTGTTCTCAATAATATAATATATTGAACATTGCAAATTGTGAGATTCAAAATACTGGGAATGAAACAATATTTGATTATTCTGAGGATTTTTTAACCACCTAGAAAAGAAAAAGGGAAGGAAATTAAAATCCTCAATATTTCAAGAATTTTATTCCTAAACAGAGCTTATCTTATACTAGTCAAGAGATTTCAAATCAATGTGCTTTTATTATAGGAATAATTTATTAATTTTAAAAAAATTAAACAAGAATTCTTTATTCTGGAAGCTATAGCAATCACTTCCAATAAAAGTATCTTTAAAAACAGATAAATACTATGAAGAGGAAAAGAAATACATTCACCAGGTTTATTTCTTTGCTTTTTTTTTTCTTGCAACCAACTCAGTACTATTCACAAACTACACAATATATTTCCAGGATATCCAGAAAAAAAATATCCAAGTGAGATGGATTGTTTTTAAATCTGTCATCAATAGTGTCATCATATATTTACCAGACAGCATTAGATTAGCAATACTGAAAAATGTCTTTTTCTGGGGAACGCTTAATACTGGTATATTTTCTATGTTTTCATGACAGAAAGATTCTTTTCAGTTGTCTCCTATACATCAAGATGCCTATTTTCTGCAAATAAATGCTACACAAGAAAATTGGTTTCTGGGAAAACGATCTGAATTGATTGACTACTGAACTGCTTACACAGGATGATTGCACTTTACAAAAGCTGCAAAATTGATTTGGCTAAAGCTTGATCAAGAGGGCTTTAAACTTATTTCCCTATATATACATACTCATCATGTATTGGGGCAAGCAATGCCATCCAAAGGAATAAGAAATAGTAAGTCAAAAGAAAGTACGGTAAGTGATGATATCTGGAAAAACGAAAAAGAAACATAGCTAAACCAGAAGAAACTAATGGGGCTACAGAACTATTCAACTATTTATCTCCAAGAAAGAACACATTCCACCAGTTAAATGTAAGAAACAAATAAAGGGGTAGGACTGAAGTCTGAAATTGACAGACATGGGGCTCAATAATCTACTGAGTTCAACTGAACTTAACTCTAAATTTAAAATTAGTACCAAGAGAAAAATAAAGAGAGAAACACTACATAAACACAATCAAAACTTCCCTGCAAATGTCCCTATATTGTCAATCTAATATTGCCAATTCAGAACAAACCAGATCTGGAAATTTCCCTTTTGCAAATAAAATGTATGCACATGGCAGAGTTGTATGTATTGATGTGTGCATATATGTGTCCTATTTGCAAGGATATTTGCCAAGTGTCCTCAAAAGGACACAAAGAATAAAAGGTTAACTGAATAACTTATTAGCATTTAATGGTCATAAACAAGCAATACCATCTATTGCTAATTACCTTCATATCCATTTATTTTTCACATTTATTTTTAATTTTTATTTTAAATATACATATACAAATAAACACTTATCAATTCCCTTCCTGGCTTCTGGTACAAACAACTATCATCACTACCCCAATAAGAACAGAGATAGTTTAGAAGTAACATACTATTATACTGGGGGGGGCGGGGGGGGGAAGAAGTAAAGAAAAAAAGGAGGAAAAAAACTAGATGGAAATCAGGCAAGAAAATACATAAAGTAGGGTAGGATAAGACAAGACAAAGGAGACAGAGAAGTTGTATTTAGGCATTACGCAGCAAGAAGGATGATTGGTTAGTAATATTTGTGGAAAAAAATTCTTTCATCAAGAGGTCATTAAAAACTGAGTAGAATTAATAATAAAATAATTGCAGATTATAATTTTCTAACCGATTATAAAAAAGGAAAAACCCCTTAACAGTAGGACCAGTTCAACAATGAAACCATTCATAGATGCTAGATATCTGCCTGTGATTCCTGCACTAAGAACATTTGGATTCGGCAGCCTAAATGATTTCTTATAACTGTAGGATTCCCTGATTCAAAGATAGGTTTGGAGCTTAAAGCAACATGCCACCCTGACAAATCAAAAACTGAATTTAAAAGAACTTTAAAATGGAACACTTTGGAGAATTACAAAATGCATTTAAATAGAAAGTCCTCGTACATCAACATGCAAACACTACCACCAAGAGCTACGTTATCCACTGCCAGAGATTTGCATCAGAGCAGAGAGAAAAATTCTGCAAATGGAAAGAGGCATGTTGCAAAAATTGTTTTTCCCTATCATCGATTTACTGGTAACAAAGACTCACAACTGTACCTCTTCATGCTCAGGACATTTAAGGATACACTTGGGGTAGCTCCATTTTTCAGACTGTTGCAAGGAAAATGCAAGAAAGTTGACAATATATTTTACAATAAGCATTCAGACCCTGTGTGAGAAAGTATAGTTTTGAAATGTATACAAAACTTAGTTGTTATTGTATATGTATTCATCTTTCCCATGCATTCTGACAAATTTACTTTTCTAAAGAAATCACTGGTTTTTCGATTATCTTTTGCAGCCATACTGAAAACAGTCTATCTGCTGCAAATATAATTGCCTAGTTTATTTGACATGTCATACTTTATAGAAAGATTTTTTTAAAAAGAGGAGGAAGAAAAATGTGACATGTTTAGATTTAACCCTACAAAACATCACCATCAAATCTGTACTGATGGGAAAGCTATGTTTCCAACACTCGATAACTATATTGGTTAAGCAGCTGTTTGTTGTTCTGCAAGTCATTTTCATTACAGAAACAAATCTGGTACCAATGTCTTCTAAATGACCTAAAGAAAATGATTAAAGGAAAAGTTTTCTTTTATTAGTTGGCTAAAAAACAATATTGGCAAACGGTTTTCTGAGGTCACTGGAAAACACGGCATAAATAGAAGAATGTTTCTTATTTTATTTGCAATCATGATTTAGGACTACAAGTGCAGATTTTCTTCATCTCCTTGCTTCCATGCCCTCTAAACATAGGAAAGAATACCCACATATATGGCATGGATTGTTTTCAGTAGCCACAATAAAAATGACAAATACACAAAGAACATGAATGAAAGGAAAGGTTCCAATGAAATTATAATTGGTTTACATCCAGATGAGAGTCCAAAGGGTGAATAATTAACAAAAAAATATTATTTTGGAATAAGCCATCATTTTAGACATGTAAAATAGAAATAGGATTAATTCTTTCCACTCTCCTCTCAAATATTATCTCAAAGCTCCTACAGATGTTGTACCTTATTCCAATACAAATAGGCTCTTCAAATCTTGCAGCCTTGAGGAGTTGAGATTCCAAAATGCACAGAATGCCATAATATACATTTTGCGGATAATAATCTACCTTTCTTCAAGACATTCAAGGCAGAGCACATTATATTCCCCCTCTGCTGGACTTTGTCATACAATAAACTTTATGGATGAATGGAAAGCTTAGTCATTATATCATAGCAGTCTTTTCACTGATTTCACGAAGGAACCAAAAATGTATGCAGCAACCATAACAACCAACATAGCTCTGAACTTGCTCCACTGTAATAATACAACACAATATAATAGAATTGAATGTTATAATAACATTATACTAGATTAAGACTTAGAATTATTTCAGCTTAGTATTTACCCTCATATTGAATATTTTTAATATCATGTTTTGCTAACTCGTCAGCAATTGTTGGATCAATAAGCATTATTTTTCATGTCAGAATTATGGAGGAATATCAGATTTTGATCAGATAAGCTTATTCCACCGCTGTACTTCCAACCACTGAAAACTGTATCACATTGTTGAACTCTAAGACTGTGATAAGTAAGTTGTGTGCAAAACAGGAATTCATATGTCTATTTTGGAGCAGCCTATTAAGAGAAAAATACTTCTGCTAACTAGAAGGAATGATGGATTTCTCAAATTTAATATTCTCTCAAAGTACCAGATTTGTCCATCATAATTCCCAGATTACAAAACCAATTAGAGTTGGCTTTCTGCACTCCAGGTAACAAAGTTACAGCAAGAAACATAGGAAAAAGACAGAAATATATCAAAAAGAGGTTTGAGCTATGTTCGATATACAGAAGTCTGGAACCTACTTGGCAAATTGAAGGTTAGCATGATGCGTATGGTGAAGTCCCAGGGTTGTAGTAGTCACATAAGCTTTCTATGAGCTACCCAGACACCCTCCAAATGTTTTAAATTAATTTTAGTTTAGGATGTAATGGAAGTAGAACTTTATTAATTATTGAGGAATAACCATTTTAATTACTCCGAACATACAGTATGTCATTCCAATTTTAATTCAATTACTATGTAAATTAAATCAAATTTAGCTTTGTCCTGATTTCACCCACATTGGAGTGCAATACCTGGCAATACCTAAAGGATATTCTGGCTCATAGTTTGAGAAAGGGTGGAACCAAGTGGTACTGCCATGTTTTCCCTGTCTATCAAACAGTACTGTATTGCTTCAACCGCTGGCATCAGCAGGAGGAAGCAACAGGATAGGATTAACATCTGAGCAAATAAAGTAAATAGCTCATGCTGCCTGGCTGATTTGGAAGTGATTCTTTTCTCAAGCCTCTGGCTGTTCCAAATGTCAGCAAAAGGTAACAATAGCAATGCAAAAAAAAGCTAAAGAACAGCACTTTTTCATGTTTGGAACACGATTATATTTCTATTCCAACCAAAGTTTTTCAATGCAAGTTTTTCGTTCATATACAGTACATCTATTAACACCTCAAGTTAACAAACCTGTGTAGTGAATTGCTTTCTTAGCATAATTATGTACAGATTGGAACAATTCTAAAAACAACTCATTTTCATTTTTAGACTAAGGGAGAAGTAAGAGGATTTGTTTCCTTAGTAAATCATCTTATTTACTTCCTGAGTTGCTCAGCAAGATAAATGATCTGAAGACAATAAAAATTGAAACATAGAAAGACAGGAATAGAAGCGACTTCGGTAGACAGGAAGCGAAGTGACATGCACAAGAATAGAATAGTAATGGTAGAGAAGTTCAATATCAGAAGTACCATCAACAATTCCAAATAAGATCTGAAAAAAGAGCATGATAATTTAATGCCATTTATGCCATTTCTTCAGTCAGTGTGCTCTCCATTGTTTATTCACACTTGTCTCAACTCCACATGCAGAACAGAAAGAAAACACTAGAATGAAGAGGAATTGGGAGCCAACTGTTCAATTCTGGCTACAGCCCAGTATGTTAAGGACATTGTAACTTTGTAGAAATAAAAAGATGAAGAAACAGAGTAAGGAGCTTGTCTGTAAACAAGAAACTTCTGAAGATCAACACAACAGGACCTTTCCATTAGGGCCTCTAAACCAAATTTTATAAACAACTCATGGCAGAAAAATTCTGGAGAACCATGAAACATACGAAGGTCTTGTGGTGAAGCAGTGGTGCCTAGGGGAGACCGTATTGATAAATCAACTCAGGAAATCAGCTGGAATGAACAAAACAAATGGACGAAGGGATTAGCAAGATGTGGTATATGACGCCGTACCTCAGTTGGTCCAGCATACATCATAGGAGAGGGAAATATGGCCACAACAGTTGTTTCTGGATTCAATATTCCTTCCTCTAGCACTGCTGCATGTTGCTTCATTCGCCACATCAGAGGAACATCATCATCCTTTGTCCAACCACCCAGAGGATGCAAAAGCAGAACTGGGCGCCTGTAACCTCGATCCAGAAGCTGCTTATGAGTATCCTGCATCAACAGGGCATGTCCATTGTGCACAGGGTTACGCAACTGGAATGCAAAGACAGCATCTGAAGAAAGAAGGGAGAGATGTCAACAATTCTAGAAGTAACAAATCAACAGTTCTAGTAGCCAATGGCAAGTGGGCACCAATGTTTTATTCAACTGTTTGGCTTGTAATATAGAAAAAGTATGAGAAGGATAGCAATAGCACTCAGACTTATATACCGCTTCACAGTGCTTTACAGCCCCCTCTAAACGGTTTACAGAATTATCCTATTGCCCCCCCCCCAAAATCTGGATCCTCATTTTACCCACCTCAGAAGGATGGAAGGCTGAGTCAACCTTGAGCCTCGTGAGATTCGATCTGCCAAATTGCAGGCAGCCAGCAGTCAGCAGAAGTAGCCTGCAGTACTGCATTCTGACCACTGTGCCACTGTGGCTCATGGTCAGAGATAGCCAGTTGCAGAGAGATGTCTCAATGGATCATCCCCCAATTATTGCTACTGGTTGGAAGATCAGAATACAACATATAGTGATGAATGCTGCTAAGATGAACTATAGTTTTTCAGGTAATCATCAAAATCCTATAGTCAAGAATATTTGGTTTTCATTTCCCTCAAAGAGGATATTCTATCATGCTATGTCATCCCTATTTCATGCGAAAGATCTATCAATCCTCTGCACATAAAGTACCTTGACACTGCCTACTAATATAAGCTGCTTGGGGATAGTACCAGCAGGAATGTTTAAATAGCTGTCAAGAAAAGTGCAAGCTAGCACTAAGGACATGAAAGATATCCAGCCTCTTAATGTATTTTCTTTGATCAATGTGATTTTTGTATGTCTTAAACTCAAACTGAACTGAATCCCACAGCTAAAGCAACAGGATTTCCCATCTACCATCCCCCTGCCAAAAGCTAACAAACAAAAACCCCAAAGGAGGGTTATCACCATTTTATCAAAGTGAAGAGAGGAAGCATACATGTAAATAAGAGAAATATGGTGATGGCAACATATTCAAAAGCTATTTCTCTATCCCCTGTGGCTGGCCATGGTAGGCCAACTCTACTATAAGCAGAGGTAAAAATATCTGCACACATGGACTGTTGATGCTGGAATAGGGCCATATTCTTCAACAAAATTATAAACTTGTTTATATTTTGCATGCATCCATAATTGTTTGCAAGTTATTGCTCATATTTACTGTGGAGAACTTCAGCAATTTTGTTCTGATTTCATGCTTGATTATTTTTGCCCCATAAGCATTCAAGCTATGCAAAAGTTAAGTTGTTCAATTTTAAACAATGAACTGCTTCTTTAAATCAATTTACCATCCAGTTTCTAGACAATAACTAGTTTATCAATTTTAAAGTAAATACTGCCAAGATCTCAGCTCCAATACATCCCAGGCAAGAGTTTTGAGATTGTGAACCCAAATGCTAATTATTTGAAGGAAATATATGGAGCCAAAATTCCAAGGGAAAAAATGCACACTTTAAACAGAGTTTGAGATTGAGACTGGCAGTCATTCCCCACCCCCACCCCCCACCCTCAAGCTTAGAGATAGAGTGGAGGAGGGAGAGCATATTATGGTGATGTTCCTTGAGGCCAACAAAAGTTATAAAATATAGCCATCTGTAAAGAATTCAAAAGTCTTCATTAAGCAAGATACTTAAAAATTTAGGAGGAAAAACATAGAAGAGAAACATGGTTACGTTTTAAGCATATCTGTACCAGATTAGCCATTAAAATGTTGCAATAGTTTGCAGTCATAAAACTGGGCTCTTGCAGATCCAGAACAAATATATTTATTTATAATGTACTTCTATTTTATAGTAGCAACTCTAACTTTAAGCCCTCTTACCCACAATCTTTGAGTATTAATGTAGACACTGGTCCTGTTTTCCCCAGTTATAACAGCACAGGAAAAGCAATCTATCACGCTACTGTTTATCTGTTTCTTATATTGCCATAATAATACAAACTGCGAAAATGCTACAGTGCAAACAAACTGACTGTACCATGGTCTTCTTCATTGCTAGGTTATAAGCCTAGAAAAGTCTTTCCAAAAGTATTTTTCTGAAACACTTAAAAACCACTTTTCAACGCTGAGCATAATAATCCTATGTTTTGTCTCCATACGGGCTGTTCCTTAGGAAGGGAGGGACAAAAATAAAGAGAGCTGAAAGATGCCACATAACGTAACACAAAAATAAACTAAAATCTATCCAGATTACTGGCCACCATAGTCCCAGAGAGCCATTATGGAATAGGAAAGTATTGTGCAGGCAGTCAAAAAGATTTGGAAGTTAGGGTTTAGTGTACTGTTTTGGAATATCAAACCAGCCAGTTCAGAATGCAGTCAGAAGCAGTAAAAAAAAATGGCAAAACTTATTATTTGTGTGGGTGTGCTGCACCCCCTTAATAGTTATTAGTTTTTAGGATTAAAACCATAGAAACAGTGTTATGATGAAAATATAGATCAGATTCTGTAGCAAGGGTAGGCAATTAATCTTCCCAAGGAGCCACATGAGAAACTGGGACTGTTGTAGAGCGCCAATGCACGTCCCCCAATGCTGCCCCACCCCCACCGAGATTCCTCCCCCTACTCCTGCCCTGCCCCATCTATGCCACTGCTCTGACCTAGCCAATGTCTCCTGCCCTGTCAATGTTGCCGTGTGCCCTGCTAATGCCCTCCCCACTGATGCCCCCCCCCCGATCTCACAGACCATTCAGGGATAGCTGAAGGGCCATGAACTGCCCAGAGTCTGCTCCACAGCATTGTCCAGGGCAAGTTTCTAGAAAGTGACAGCCAATTACCAATTATCATTTAAGAACTCACCAGCATTCATGTCTTTGAACTTCTGCTTTAACTCAGCGGGAGTGAGACGATACTGGTCAAGACCATCGTTCCAATAAATTCGATCCAGGACTTGAAGATCACCACCAACAAGCCAATCCCCTTGTTCCATAACCATCTAGGAAACGTAAGAAAGCAAACTGCATCCATAGCCATATAAATGGGGACAAGATAACTTATATGAATAGTTGCTCTGAGCATCCTAAGAGAGGCCAGGTTAATCCATCCCAATATCTGGTATTGTTGTAACAACTTTTGTGTTGTTTTGTGCCATAAAATTACATGTACTAGCATACTAAGTTGTCCTCAACTTATAACTGGTCGCTTAGCGACTGTTCAAGTTACAATCTACCAAAGTCCTGACAGTTGATGGTCACATGACCGCATTTCGAGCACTTGCCAATATGTTTATAGTCACTTGCAATGTCCTGCAATCCTGTCACCACATTGTATGATGGTTTTACCACTTACTTCTGGTTTTGGGCCAAATTGCACCAAACAATGGATTCAAGTTAATGACCATAGCATTTGCATTTATGATTACTGTCGTTGCTTAATAACTGCTGCAAAAACTGTCATATAAATCAGGTCAGTCACGTAACCATTTTATGACTGTTACAACTTGTGACTGTATTGTAGAGGCACCATTATAGTTGCAACTCAAGGACTACCAGTATCAAAATTTCTTATTAACTTTCCCCAACCATTTCTTATTTCCTCAAAATTTAGGTTAGCATGTCATGCTACGGTTTTCCTACAAACTCTTACGTTTTGCACTACCGTACATTGATTTATCCTATCAAAACCTGAAAAATAATCTGGAAAATATGTCTTTATATCTCTTCAAAAACTATGAGGCCATTATGTGCTGTGTTTGAGAAGACAGGATGGGGCTGATTTGCGGTTGATTTGGCACTGAAAAGACCAATACAGACGAGTGGGTATCTTTATAGCATTAACTTAAATTGAAACATTGACCAAGGTTTTTTAAAAAATATCAAATTTCAGGGGGGCATAGTTAACAGAGCCTCTTTAAATTAACAATTCTTTAAAGGATTTAAAACAAAAGTTCCAAAAGAGCTCATTTTGAGCCAATCACTGTCTTATATCAGGGATAATTACTGTAGATAAGCCTATTGAATACTGAGTATGATCAAGAAAAAACAGGAATTATATCACTGACCCTGCTATAAATTAGCTTGAATGTAAATTTAGGTTCATCATTACAATTAAGAGACTAGTTTAATAGATAATTTAAACTGCTTGTCAAAATAAAAGATGAATTGAAGTCTGGACTCTGTTATTTTAATCTGGTCATGGCCTGAGGCAAAAAGGGCATATGTTTTTTTCTGTCATTACTGCTGAATAATTCATTTCAGAGTGTTTCATCTAGGATTACAAATCTATATTTATAAGCCAGATGACAGAAATTGCTGTCCAGTTCAATGACAGTCTATGCAGTTAACATGAATTTCTTTATACCCAAAGATATGAAATCACTGCAGATTTACTTCAACAGGCATGAAAAGACTAAGAGAAATGATTAATGTAACAAGAGGGTTATCTAAAGATCTATCAAGGTTTGTACCAATTTAGGACGTGTAAAATTTTTCAACGTAATTTCCAAACTTTAGGGATACTCAAAAGTTGTGACATGCCTTGGGGATTATGAAGATATTTTGATTACTTTAAATATAATTTAGATGTGCTTGGTAAGTAACTACATAAATATCATAACTTTTTAACATTTTATTTGTTTCATAATAGGGCAGAGGTCATGGTGCAGTAGCCTAGAGGTGGAGCTCTCGCCTCACAATCAGGAGGCTGTGAGTTCCATCCTAGGTAGCGCCAGATATTTCTTTCTCTGGGCACAATGAGTAAATATCAGCTGCAAACTGTCCATTGGTGACAGGAAGGGCATCCGGCCAATAAACACTCAGCTCCATTCAGTTGCCCCAATTCCACCCCCAAGGGATTACGGGGTCATTAAAAGACAAAAAAAATAATAGAGCAAAGGTCTCCAACCTTTCTGGTTCCACGGATTGGCAACCGCGGTGGCGGGTGAGGGGATGGTTTTGTGAGCGTAACCTAATCCTACACATGTGCAAATGAAGCATGGCACGCTCATCCAGTACCGGTCGAGGGGTTGGGGACCCCTGCCATAGGGAACATACTTCAATAATCTTAGTCACCAAACTTATTTATAACCATATTTACATTATAGAAGGACTCCAGATTAATGATAAAATTAACTAGAAAATGCTACCTTGATATATGGGTGCTCTTTGCATGTTGTTCCCCACTGTCTGGCACAACGTTCCTCTTTTCGGTACTCGTAGAACTCCGGATTGCGAACAATAGCCACACGCCGATCATCATACAGCAAGGCGAAAGCTGTGCATCCATCCAGTCTCTCCTTGTCCTCTTCTGTAACTGCCAAAACTATAGGCACTGATAAATTAATGATTCCACCTAAAGAAAAAAGTAACAGACATTTAAATTACAAGGATCTCTGGAAAAGAGATTCTCTGAAAAAAATTAAAATTAAGAATTAGCAAACCAGAACCATCAATTCCAAAAATTCAGAACAATGTACACCTCTTCTTGTACAATTCATTTCTGGAATGAAAGAACATGACCCAAACCTTTGGATCAGTTGGTTCTGAAAGAGGAATGGAACATTTCAGGGAATGGAATATTTCAGAAGCAGACCATATGTTGTGCACACAATTATTCTAATCTACAGTGTTCTGAGAGTATATCAACCTTTGATGATGAATAGATTAAATCCGTTGCCTGTTCTGTTCTTGAGGCATAGACCTGCTTAGCAGTTTCTGGATTTTCATTCCTCCCCAATGTGATCAGAGTAACAAATAATAAGCTACAGTTCTACTGCTCTAGGACAGCAAATGAGAGATTCCTTTCTCTGCACTGGCAGAGTATGTTTCATTCCAGCATTTTATTTTCTCTGAAAAGCAAACAGCCGCTGCTGATCAAACCCTTTGTTGGTTTGCTGCTGCAATCTTTTCAGGGTTCTAGAGCAGTTGCAATTATCACTGAACCCAAAAGAAAAAAGATCACATGAAAGGATAGATCACTCATATTCCTAACTTCTGAAGATACAAGCATTCCAGATTGGGTATTCAAGAGTCATTTTACCATACAAAAATGAAGAATGTGATCTTTGAGTTCAAATCACCAGCATTTTCCAATCATATATTATAAAATTGCTACAATGGCAGGTTTGGCTTTATAAAATCTTTTATTTGAAAGTAAACATAACAGAAATATTACAAAGGCATTATTAGTATGATAAAGCTAATATGCAAGAAATCCATCAATGTTAATGTTACATCAATAATAATGTTATTATCAATGTTATTAACAGTTCATTATTTCAAAACATGAGTTTACCATAATGATGAAAAAATATGCTTTAGCCCAATAGTTTAAACATATATTAATAACTGTTGTTGTTTTTTTCAAAATTCTCATCAAACCCAGTGAGCATGGCCAATGGTAATGTTCAAAACATCTGGAAGCAACCAATTTGCCTATTCTTGGGTTGAACCTTTACTATTCCCTGTTTTACTACTTCAAGTTTTAACAATTGCCAAATTTCACTTTTTTTCATGCTTCTAGATGCTTTTACCTAAAATACTAAAAACAGCATTAGTTTTCTAGTCTAACATGTATTGTTAAAATCCTGGATATTGTATCTAGTACTGATGGTGACCAATGTTTTTAAGACACCAACTCTTTCCTTATATCTTTGTTTCATTTTTTTTGTGAAGCTACTAAAGAATTCTGGCAAGCCTCTTCTCTATAACTCTTCCTTTCAATGAATCTTCTAGGTAAGCCAAAACAAAGAAAAGATATAGTCAGAATCATAGGATCATTGAGTAAGAAGAGGAATATCAATTTATATTTGGAGGGAAAGGACAAAATGAGAAAAACAGAAAACCAAGACCAGGATCAGGATCAGTAAGAATAAAGCTAAAAAAAAAAAAAACAACCACATTAGATCTTAGCCTGATGAACAAGCCTATCTATTATGGTTTGCAAATTATAAATGACTAGGGCTTTGCCATAGAATTTTGCTGAAACTTTTTCTGGATCTAAACCCATATTGCTATATCAGAAGCATGTCAAAGACTCATTCTCTAAAATCTGTGGACAAAATTTAAAAAAAAAAGTTTTACATATTTAATTAAAAATGAATATAACTAACATGATTACTCACCAGATGTGTACTTAATGATGTCCCACTTCTGTCACATTCAACTTGTAATTTTGTTTTGAAATCTCCCAGGGCCAAATATAGCCCAGGACCTCGAGTTTCAAATAAACAAAAAGCTTGATGAAATATAATGACCCAGCTCCGAAAGAATAAGGATATTTTCAAATTTCTAAGTTGGAGTCTAGCCTAATTTTTTTCACACACACAGTGCAAATGGGAGAATTATATACAGTTTCTCGGCAAGATTAATGGACTGTGTGGCCAATCTGAAATCTCTTACCATCTAGTAGACAGTCAAAATGAAGGCACTGAAGATATTCTCTTTCTCTCATAAAGCCATTAAGTGGGGTTGCCCACCCCTCCGCAAGAACTTGAACCCACTGCATATCAACCTGTAAATACACATTTCATAAGTTCTAGATTTAATGCAAAGTCTGGGCACCATCAGAATAAAAGCATTCATTTAGAAAGACAACATGAGGAAAAATTTGGTAAGTTATGATTCTTAGTTTACCCAGACAAAGACGTACCACACCCAAACAATACACGTGCAGTGTCTCACAACCATGGCAGCTTGAAAATGTGTGAACTTCAAGGACTGGGGAATTCTGAGGGTTGAAGTCTATACACCTTCAAGGTGCCAAGGTTGAGAAACACTGCATAAGAGGCTTATAGCATGCTGAAATAATTCATCACTGCCGAGAATAAGAAAGCAGAACAAATTTCTATGTGAAAGCTGCTTACAGAAATCATCTACTTCAAGATTTGTTCATATTTATTGCATTCATTAAAAATGTTTATTTTAAGTTTTGGGTGTCCACTCAGATATGTATGTAGATTAATTAAACTGCATGGGTTTAGTGAGTTATAAAGGCTATATAAAGGAGGCATCAATCAAATGAATTTGTAAATCTAAAACTACAAATCAATAAAATAGTAGAAATTAAGCTGATCAAAGATTTTAAAAACAACAGGTTTAAATCACAGTGAAAGTAACAAATAGCTCAATGGAATTAACGGAACAAATTTGCAAATGCAGGAAAGATGCCGCAGTAGAAAATACGGAAACACTACATGATTGCTTAGCAAAATAAAATAGGCCAATGTAATAATGCCAGCGATATCAATACTTACTAAGAAACAGAAGTTTCCCAGACATCGGCATTTAGAAAAAATAGATGAATTTGAGAGTGGAAAACAATTGTCTCTTTTTGTGTGTGTGTTTATCTTTCAAAACTAAGCCAGGCTTGTAAATAACTATCCGATTTGCTCAGATGAACAACAAAGTACTTTAGCAGTACAAGTGTTTTTGCAATCTGGATGACTGGGAAAGTTTTTCTTTGTAGCATAAAATACAACAAAGGTTTATAGGTAAGAAAAGTTGTGTGGCACAAATAACTAAAGTCGAACTATATGTGAACAAGTGAGGTATTACTTGTGCAAACTTATTTGCAAGTTCCCCATTACCTTATTTATTTCCAGAGTTGGCAGTGTTTCTGCATCTGTTTTGGCCAGCTTAAGCTTATTTTCAGGCACATATAGTTCTTTCACCTCATAAGAAGCATCCACTGGTACAATATCCTATGGGAAAAAATGGATGAACAAAAGTTATTTAAGCCTCTTTGATCACAACGAAGGTAGAAGGAAAGAGAAAGGAAGAAGGAAAAATACTCCAATTCTGAAACATTCAGGTACACAGATCCCAGCAATGCCATCTCCTCTGAGGTCTCCCAGGAGAATATCCCAAAAATGCTTTTTTCAAGAAGCAACTAGACTTTTTTGTTTTTCTTTGAAGATGTTTCGCTTCTCATCTAAGAAGCTTCTTCAGCTCTAACTGGATGGCAGGGTTCCCTATCATCCAGTCAGAGCTGAAGAAGTTTTTTGAATGAGAAGGGAAACGTCTTCAAAGAAAAACAAGACCAGTTGCTTCTTGAAAAAACCACCTTTGGGACAGCCATGACCTGGATGACTAAAAATCTCCATAGACAGGAAGAGAATATTCTGCTGAAGATATTCCAGCTTCATATTACTTGCAGTAAATAGAAGAACTGAAGACCAGACAGTGTTTGTTATAACTTGTGAACAACTGCATTATTTTAGGAAACTGCAGGGTATTTTTCCAGTTTCCAAATCAAAGCAAACCCGACAGCTTTGTAAAGATTATTTAGCTCTTATTTTGGATGAGAGCAGAGGCTGCGTAGGCACCAAATTTTAAAACTGTTTTTAGTTATAAATAATTTTGGGGATGTGTCATTGGCGAGAAATTAACTTTGTGGTGACTCCATCATGTTCCTTTCCCACTTGAGTGTTGTTCTGGTTGTCTGCATACTTCTACGTGCTGTTCAGCAAATGTTATGTTGTACGGTACTGGTTTAATCCAAAATAGGTTCTCTCGAAAGAGAGGCAATGGTGTTGTCTATAGGCCAGTAGTTTGGAGAGCAACTGTTTCATCTTCACACTTGCATTCCTCACTGGACAATTGCCCATTCTCAATGCCCAGAGAAAGCAGATGAGGACTAGAAGACTGCATAGGTGCAATTTGAGCAGTGCTTTATGCAACATGACTTAGTGGCTTGAGAGGGAACAAATGTTTTTTGCACTTTCTTTGAAGGCAGCAACGCAAACCCAGTCTTCCTTGGCCCAGTTCCCTAAAAATGAAGGAAGGGAAAACTGTATTTTCTTGCTTGCTTGCTTCTCCTTTTCTTGCTATATATATTCTCCTTCTCAAGAGATACAGGAACTAGATGAGGCTGAGAATCCTCTATCTAAGCCTAATTAGTATAGTTTGAGTAAACAGCTTAATAGGATACAGTGGGTACTTCAATGCGAAATTAATAAGGGAAAGGATTCTCAGAGAGGAACAGCAACTGTTGTCCTATAAAGCCAGATTGTTTATAAGCAAAAACTGATTATTGGAAAAACATCCATCAAAGCATTTAGAAATCTGCCACAAAGGTTTGTGCTTATAACATCTGGGCAGCTACCAGTTGGTCCTCTGAAAATGCACAGGATTACCCACTGACAGATGCAAAAACAAAAACTACTGGTTTCAAAAAGAACTACAGCCTCTTTTCATACATTATTATTATTGAATAAAAACTGTTAAGCAATATTGTTAGAAAATTTGGGACCAAATAATATTCAAGCCTGGTTTCAACCTTGAAACAGCTAAAAATGTAGAGCATGTTCTATCACATTTGTGCAGAAACTAGAGCTACATTTGCATCAAACGAACATGTCTAAAATAGACTGATCTCAGCATCAATTCAGACAGTCATGACATTCATCCATTTAATTTTCAGTATATGGAAAGATGCAAAATAAATAAGGCTTCTACTTGCCTTTTTAAAAAAGGCAATCAGACTGATAGAAGCTACTCAGTGAATACACAAATTCCATTTCCCAATAATAAAAAATGCAATTGTTTCGCTGCAATATTTTGTAACTATTTAACAGTAAATATTATTTCTTTAACTGACAACTGTAAAAGTCCTTTCTATATCATAATAGTCCCATACCTCTAAAGTGATGCTTGAAAGTTATATGGAGTTATAATTAAAAGTTTCAGAAACTATTTGCATCTTTAAACTAATGAAATGGATTAACTTAAAACATTTTATGAGCCAAAACATTTGTTTTTACCTAACATGCTATATATTGTTTTACTTTGTTTCCATTTTGCTTCAATGTAATTTGCTCTAAGCAAAGAATCAGTCATGTCAATTCTGCTAGTTCAAACATGTGACCCAATGTATATATTACAGTATTTGCATTTCAACAATGCACCATAAAGACAAACATTGATATATCAACAAAATTTTAAAATTAGGCTAAGAAATGAAATTCATTTCCTGAAAAGGGCAAGTATTCTAAGTTTTGAAATATTTAAAAATTTAAAACATATACACAAACACAGATATATATATATATATATATATATTAAATGTAATATACCTGGTACATATAGTAATTAAATACTAGTTTATATTAGAAACAAAACCTCAGTTTCGATTAATTCGCATCTGCTCCGTGGAAACACTATCTTAGAAGGCCCTCTAGTGACAAGTTGAAAATTGTGCTGATTTGAGAATGAACGTTATTTTAAAAAAATACCCCAAGATAATAACTAAAACACCTATTGTTCCTAATTTCAATGCCCTTTTCATAAGGCACTGACTTTGACATAGGTACAAATGCACTAAACTCACATTACCTTAATTTACCCAGGTAACAATGTATTGTACAGGTAGTCCTTGACTTACAACAGTTCATTTAATGACCAAAGTTACAACGGCAGTGAAAAAAGTGACTGAGGACTGTTTTTCACACTTACAATCATCACAGCATGCCCATGGTCACGTGATCAAAATTCAGGCCCTTGGCAACTGACTCATATTTATAACAATTGCAGTGTCCTGGAGTCACCTTTTGTGACCTTTTGGCAGTAAAGTCAATGGAGAAGCTTGATTCACTTAAAAAACTGTGTTACTAATTTAACTGCAGTGATTCATTTAACAACTGTGGCAAAAATGGTTGTAAAATGGGGCAAAATTGATTTAACTGCCTCAAAGCAACAGAAATTGTGGGCTCAACTGTTGTTGTAAGTTGAGGACTATTTATAGTCATTGAGAATTTGATTAAAAACTGTATACTTCTAAAGGAATTATTATCAGTTATGAAATCAGTGCCAGGAAATTTACTCTGCAAGCGCCTAATAATAATCTCACAGCAAGCTTTTGAGGATTCCAGCATCGCTACCCAAACTAATAAGCCTGATTAGTAAAAACACAAAAAGGAAGCTGTGTGCTGGACAGTTCACGAGGATGCAGTAGGGCTAGTTATTACATATATAATGTCTGAAGCACTGGTGGGATTCAAAATTTTTTAATATCGATTCTGTAGGCGTGGCTTGGTGGGCATGGCAGGGGAAGGATACTGTGAAAATCTCCATTCCCTCCCCACTCCAGAGGGAAGGATACTGCAAAATCCCATTCCCTTCCCCCACCACTAACCTGCTTTCCAGCTCCGTTCTCCTGTGCAGGGCAACAAAAGAAGACCCAGCCAATCAGCTGGAACTCGGGAGGCAGAGAATAGATGGGGGCAGGGCCAGTCAGAAGCAGTATTTGCCTGTTCTCTGAACTACTCAAGATTTCTGTTGCCAGTTCTCCAGAATTGGTCAGAACCGGCTGAATACCACCTCTGGTCTGAAGGGGGTTAGCAAATGATTTTTAACTGTGTATAGATTCTGTATAAAGATTAACTTCAAAACTAATTATCTCTATCAGCCTGCAGAGTGGAAATAGTTTTAGCCTTAGCTTTGTAATCCCACCCCCCACCTCCCACCCCAATGAACTGGTTGTAACTTGTTATTCTTTGACATTCTCCTCCAACAATGCTGATTTTGAAAATATTGCAGGGATGTTATTTCCAGCTATTTTACCTGCATAGTTCAGCACGTAAGCTGAAGTTGGAAAATGACTAAGTATGTGAAGGTGTACAGTGGACGGATCGGTGGAATCCTGTAGAATACAGGAAAGCTTACTTGAATAAAAGCCAATTATGGGATTCTAAGAGATGAATCACTTATATTAGAAAATAGATTTTCCCAAAATCTGATAGTCTGAATAAATCAGTAAAGGACAAACTCTCCTTAATCATAGAAGAGTAAATAGTAAAACAAAAGCCAACCATATTTATAACGCTGATAAGAACATTTCATTCAGGTCTGTTTTCTCTCCTTTGAAATCCACTGTTCCCTCTTCTTTGATTCTAAATTGTAGTTTCTCTACTGAAAACATTTTTCCCATGACTATATAGACCAAAGAATATAGTATATATTACCACAATCAATGCTGCAAATAATTTAAAAGAGAACCCAGTCAAACCAGGAATTTTTTTTACTGATACACCAACTGTTAGGTTGATTACATGCGCCAACTCATAAAACATTTTGTATACATATTTTATAGTTGACAATAGGAAGAAGGGGGGGGGAGTTTCAAAGAGCAGGCAATAGTGTGGAATCGAAAGTACATTCCATTCCTATTTTCTTCAAAGACTGATTAGATGGCTGAAGCTTCTGCCGTGAAAAAACCTAATTGGAGAGCATGATTGATGACTCTTGGCTATGGAAGTTTTTTGTTGGATGATACACACAGAGGGGTGGGGGGGAAAGCAGGATCAAGGGTGACAGTGAATTACGTATCTCAGAGTTGGCTACGCCCAGGTTAGTGCTGGACGTAGAATGGTAGCTTCAAATAAATCCTCTTTAGTTTTGGGAGTGTGGCTCGAGGCCCATGATTTAATTGGAGTAACTGCCTGACAATATGACAACTTTGGGAATCACTATATCAACAGATACTTTGTGGTTTTAAGGAATAGAGTACAAAATTTGAAAAATTCAAATGCACAAAAGTTGTTCCTGTGGTAGAATACTGGGTTTTAGCTCATAGAAATATCCTAAATGATTTGGGAGGCTTTTTCCCTGCAGACATACTCCAACACATAGACAGAGGTAAGGATTGATGTGGAAGCCATTTTGTGTACCGGAGAAGTTTAGAATTCAATATTTAGAGCCTTCATACCCGTTCTTGTAGAAGTTCCACAACTTGTTGAACGCAGTCATTGACATCACAGGAATCTGTTTTGAGTACCAACTCGGGAGCTTCGGGTTTTTCATACTCTGAGTCAATGCCAGTAAAACCTGCATAAAAAACAAAACTTAACACACTTCACCACTTCAGGTAAGATTTTCACTACTCAGCTGATGACCAGCACAGAGGCGTCACACACATATCTTAGTTTAAAATAATAAGGAAGTGAACAACATGCTACAGAATTAACATGCATCTTGATTGCTTTGGCAACTGCTATTTTTTTACCCATTGTATGCAAAGCTGGATCAAAATGTTTGCAACAGTACAAATTTATTTAATCCTTATTCATCCTGGCAAATAACCTACCTCAATATTTATTAATGTACACAAGTTTGAAGGTCAAAATAATCCAGGCAAATTCAAATCTTAAGTGATATCAGCAAAGATTTTAAAGAGAAAAAAAAAAACCAAGCAAGCAAATGTTAATCATTAATGGATGAGAAAAGAAGTAATTAATTTTTTTTAACTATATCTACTTGTTCTGCAATGGCTAAACCACAGTTCCTTTTTCAATTATGAAAGCTTAGAAGTGACACAGTGTTGACTCAGCGAAGGGGTTTGATTTGCAATGCCAGATAATTTTAAAGAATCACAATTCATATATACATTGAATGAACATTAGTATCATCTACAGAAAGACAACTATTATAATCCAGCTTGATCCATTACTCTAATGACTAGAGTGAGAGAATATCCACCTAGTGATCTATCTTAACAAAAAGTCAAGTAGAGAGCATTTCTATCTGCAGACTATCTCCATCTGCAGACAGATTAAAATAAATCTTTACAAAAAAGAAAACAAATGCTTCTAAGCCAAGGGTGTCAAACTCACACCACTGCAGCGACATCACGTGATCAGGACTTTCCCACCCCCTTCACTAAACCGGGCCTGGGTGTGGCCAGTTTGTGATGCATCCGGCCCTTGGGCCATGAGTTTGACAGCCCTGTTCTAAGCCATCAGAGCAGATGATATAAACTTTCTTCTGTAGCTTTAAAAACTGTGACTTAATATAGCATCTAAATACAAGTAGTGGTGTCTAACATATTAGATTGTAGTTTGCCTTGCTTTATTGAAGAAGGCATAGCACGTTGGTTAAGCTGGAAACTTTGGTCTACAAAGATTAGATTTAAGCATCATTTAAGCCAAAAGTAAACAAACGATATCACAGGATGAAACAGGAACTGAACAACAGTCCCCTCAACTCTTTATCATAAAATATAAATCAAATATAAAATAGGGAAACAACATACCAGCCTAAGGATTCTAGGAAAAAAATGGTAAAATGCTGACCGTCAGCCTCACCTTTAATTTCACCAGCACGAGCTTTCTTATAGAGGCCTTTCGCATCTCTCTGTTCACAAACATACAATGGAGCATCCACAAATACTTCAAAGAAAGGAAGACTTGCTACTTCATGAATTTGTCTTGCATTGTTGCGGTCCTAAGAACAGCAAAGAAAGAATTACTGTAACAAAAACTTTTATTACAATATATCTAGCCACAGCTCCATTACACAGGTGCTAATATAAGGAAAGATTAATATAACCACCTTCCCTTGTAAGCTTAGTTCAAAGTAACCAAACTTCATTGCAGTTAAATTAGTTCAATTCACTAATCTTGATTTGCAAAAATTCTGGCAAGATTCCCATTTTAAAAACGTATAGTTATTTGAGAAAACCATTGCTGCTGGGGTCACATAGAACTGTAAGGCATAAACCATGCTTGATGAAGTGCAATTTGGGATTCATATATTGCAGGGTTGTCAAACTCAATGTCTGCGGGCCGGGGTGCTCTGATCTGGCCTGTGGGAACACCCTGGAAACAGTGAAGCTTCATTTTCAGTGGCAGAGGGCTATAGGAGGAGCCCCCCACCCCCCCACCCCAGGCCATCACAGAGGCCCCCAACAGAAGTGACATTGAGCTGGCCATGCCCAACCTGGCCACATCCCCCAAGGTCAAATACAACCCTGATGTGGCCCTCAATGAAATTGAGTTTGAATAAAAATTATTTTTTTAAAAAAGAAATTGAGTTTGACACCCCTGATATACTGCTTTAAACTGAAACCATGAAAGCAGTAAATCTGAGCTTATGACTAAACCTTTGTTTAGTGAAGTTTAACAAGATGTTTAAGCCCAGCCTTTGCCTGCAATAGTCAAAGTCATAAATTGCTCTAAGCTGTAGTGTAGATCAGAACACAATTGCTTTGGCTTAGTAGTATGGCAAATCAGGTCATTCTAGCTTAAACCACTGAACTACTACATCATGTAAGAATTATTTAAAATCAAACTTAGCAGCCTTTCTACTGAATAAAAGTCTAAAGGACAACATAATATTTTATGATACTTGACAATTATAATTTTCCAAATTATAATCCAAATACAAATCACTAGTAAAATAAACAATTTGTAATTCCTTCTATCAGAATCTGTCACTAATATCTAAGTCTATTTTTATTAAGTTTTTATTTAGTGCCATCACTGGAAAAGGCAGAAGTGCTATTGAAAGCTTCCTGAACTACAAGGTTGCAATATTAATCCCTCTTGTATTTTTCAGTCGATATCTGTATTTGCCAGAGTTAAACTGTTTTTATTCATGCCTAAACTTCAGAGTAGCCAAAAATTATACAGAATCTAATTGCTCAGGACACTGGCCTAGCCTATAATTAAAAATAACAATTATTATTATTAATCCAATAGAAGATAATTGTCTGTAGCCCAGAGTTAAACTGTAGAATTATGGTCGTTTGTTCTGTGAGCTTGGTTGGTTACTTGCAGACATTTTATTACCCATTCTGATAATATCACAAGTGTGCGTGACTGTAGAGTTTTCCTGGTCAGCTTCAGCACAAACTGATTTAGCACAAGCAGCTGATTGT